GCACAGTCAAAAATGATATTTAGATGCTGGAAATTTAGGAATTTTATAAAAAATGAGTGTCAGAGATGCCCCTAAATAAAGTTGAAGTGAAAATGCGATGTGCACAGCAAAGTGACATACATTGTGTGCGTCAGTCAGAACAGCATACACCGCAGAAGTAATGAAATTATGGAATGGTCAGACATAAAGGTTGTCATGAATCACGTCCTTGTATTTAGATCTTTATCACTCTGTTCACTAGCTCTGGTTTCTCAGTTCTGTTCTGCTCTTTTCATTCTCACTCCTTATCTCCTTCTACCTGGTTCTCATGTGTGTGTGTATGTGGAGAACCAGTCTGTCCACTCTGCATGTTGGTGAAGGCTGACTGCACTAATTGTCTGCACTGCAGCCAGCTGGCCTGATTATCTCTGACTGGCTGCACCTGTTCTCTCCACCCTTTATAAGCAGCAACCTGTCAACTCTTCGGTGCCCGATAGTTGAACACTCTTAGTAGTCAGTAAATATCTCGTGTTCATGCCTGTAGTCCTTGTTGCCCTCTCTTGTCCCTGTTCAAGTCCTCACTCCTTGTCTTGCCCTCCACGCTACCTGTCCCTCTTTCTGGTTGTCCTCCCCTTCTTGTTTGGCCTGATCTCTTGGTTCCTTGACCCTCTGCCTGCCTCGACCACGTCTCTTTGGATTGCCCTTTTGGATTTGTTTCTGCATCTGCTCTTGGTACCGACCCACGCCTGCCCGACCACCGATCTGCCTGCTCCTCTGGTACTGCCTGACATCTGCTTCTCGTTACTGGACCTTGGAAAGCCTGACCTCCCCTTTTGGATCACGGACTCTGGACACACAGACAGCTGCGGCCGACTGTCGTCCTTCACCGGACTCAGCCCTTCCAGCAGCTGCAGATCTGGACACTTCCACCTTTCAGGACCCTTGAGATCATCTGAGACGGTTAGTGGTTTTTCCTTATTGACTATTTTCCACGTTCTGGTAATCAGCACGACCACTAACCGTTCTCTGCTTCTTAGATTGCTCCTGCCGTTAACCGACACCAGAACCAGAACCCAGACCAGCACCGAGACCAGCTGTCACTTCCCTTCTAGAAACAATAAACACTTATTATTTATCGTCAGTCTGTTGTGTTGTGATCTTGGTCCAAACCCTCACGAGAGTTCCTTACA